ATTTAGATAATAGTACAATTTTTCTGGGGGGGGGGGGTTCGTTTGAGCGACAAACGACAAAATCTTATCCTACAATTTGTGTTGATAGGCGAATAATTTTTGCACCTGGATGAATTCGCCGCAAACGCAGGCATTAGTTCAACTGGAATTGAGCCAATTGACCGAACGAGTACCGGTCAAAGAAAGATGTAAATAGCATTTTGTTAGTTCCGTCAGTGGATAATTCTACCTTTAAGGTCAAAAATCTTTCCTCTATATGTAACTGAAACGATTTGTTTAAATATTCAGTCTTTCATTGTATCTCTATTAGTGGAATATGTTTTCTAGTTTAAAGTGTCGTTAAAACGGTGATCGTGATCTAGTTATCGTATGGAAAATATGAGATTTTTTTAATCTGTTGCTCAGTGTTATTCGAGGTCGTTTTAATATGGCTATTGACAGTTAAAACATTTTTTTAGCGTTGGTGACATTTCTTATTGGATTGGTGGGTTGAAACGTAATACGAAATAACGTGTCTTATGATTATTTATTATGTAAATGCTGGATAATATTGTATACTTAATGAAATGGATAAATAAAGTATATCACAAAACATTATAGTGACGCGCTGATTTCGAGTGATTCGTCATTTTGTATCCTGTTGTTATTTTTGAAAATGATGAATTTTACAAATCAAAATACACAAACACAATGGTCTTACCGATGATCCTCAGAGTCCTCAGACACGTCCCGCCATTTCGTCATCGTCGGTGTTGGCTCTCTCTTTCAATACTGAAGATGGCGAAATGTGTCTTTAGGCAAGTCAAAATCATCGAAAAAATTACAGGTTCATCACCTGCAGATAACACGAAGAAATTTCACAAACCCAAGTGATGAAAATTTGAATAAAACTTCAGGGTAAGGAAACAAAAATACAAAATAGACATTATCTACAACACAAAATAAATAACTAATTGAAAACACCCTTAACTAATTTTGTGGTAGTTTACATCTTGATGAATGGTTTCATTTGAAGTGAACTTTCTTCTTTCTACAATTTAAAAAAAAAAATAAAATGATTGGGGAAAAAGGAGAGAGAGAGAGAGAGAGAGAGAGAGAGAGAGAGAGAGAGAGAGAGAGAGAGAGGGAGAGCCATTTTCAGCGAAGAACTTTCTATTTCGTTAACCGAGGTCCTTGTAGGTCCTTATAGATTACCATAGGGTATGGCTGTTGTGATAAGGGGCGTTGTCCGGGCGGTGATGTCGGTTATTAACGTTGTCTTTTAGTCATTTTTATTTTGTTTTGCCCAATTTTGTCTTCTGTAGAATGTTTGAGTTTTCGTCTTGTAGTGATTTTAGTTGAGTGAATGTAGGGTGTGAATTTATTTCTCAGCTCCACGTGCTAACGTCATGGTTCCCCATGTCGATGTGCATCTCATTTCAACTCATTTCCCAAAACGGTTTACAATTTTCAGGTAGAGAACCTTTTTTTTATCATACCAGCAGTTACAAACTGGTAATTCCTCAGAATCTAAAAACTATCATAATGAACCAGTCCACAAAAATTTCCCAGCTTGGACAAAATAAGTAATGTTATGCTAAGAAATATGCATTGTTTGTTTATATGGCTTATCCTTTCAATTTCAACCAATAACTGTTTTATAGATGTTTCCCTGAAAATCGAAAAATTTTAAAGTTATCATGATTTATAAAGCCGGTAAAAAGTGATCCCAACAACCCCGTCATTTTGTTCAATGCCTTAAGTAAAAAAAAGTCATAGATCGTTCATCAGGGTATGCCGGATACTCAAGGTCTACTGCTGGATGAACAGTTTGGCTTTAGTTCTATCCTTTTATTTAATAGACATAGACAGGTCAAAGCTGTAAATCATGCAGAACAAGTTTATACGGTTGTTCGCCGAATGAACTTCATCAGAAATACAGTACCTGCGAGATTTCATTGATCGAATTTGTAAAATTTCCTTGACAAGCGTTCATTTAGCGCAATTCTCCACATAAGAAGCATCGGTCAAAGACCAACTATGCCAAGAACGAAGCAAAAACACTCTGGAACCTCGCTGTCCTTTTTCTCCGGTAGGAGTTAGAAACTATTTATTGGACCAAAATACACTAACTTGGGTCTTTCCGTTCTGTAAATGTAATGGTGAACATCTTTCTGAGGTCACTGGAGCTATACTCTTATACGCGTATAAATATTTATTTGTATATAATAAATACTTATATATTAAAAATACGTAAATATTGTAAATTGTACAGTAAGAAATATGTTTCTTACAAAAAACAAGAAGTAATTGACATTCGGCTGTTACATAAGATACAGTATATCTTCGTTTTTTAAATATGTATACAAAACAAAACAGATTTTTCATATAAAAATTTCTTACCGTTCTGAGTATTGCAATGGCCTACTCAATAAGTAAATAATATTTAAAACCATTATATTTCATGGTCCGATTGACCAAATAACATCTCACGTGTCGCCGAAGGTCGTGGGTTCGAATCCCGCTCGTGACACTAACGTTTTCATTTCAACCAATACCTTACATAAAAAGATTAATTAATTGAAAAATATTTAAAACTTTAATCGCCAACCTTTGGTTGTTTGTCGGTTTCAAAAATTAAGTTCTGTAATAATGTGTAGAGATTAGGGGCCGTTAATCGATAATTATTCAGATATCGTGAGATGCGGTCTGGTGTGATGTAGGTGTCAGAAAAACATTTTCTTTATCGTGCCAACGTTTCGATCTTGTAAATCTGTAATTGTGCCATTCTTGCGTGTCGTGTTTAGAGTGCCCACGACACGCAAGAATGGCACAATTACACAGAAGACTTTGAGCCCTGAAGATGATCTCAATAAAGATCGAAACGTTGGCACGATAAAGAAAATGTTTTTCTGACACCTACATCACACCAGACCGCATCTCACGATATCTGAATAATTTAGTTCTATCCCCACGCGCTTTATTTACAGTATGAAGACTTAATCGTAAACCAATCGTTGCAAGGACCCGGTTTGGTTTAAGGTAAGGATTTAGCTGTTAAGCAGCGAAATCTTAGAAACTAGAGAACGTCTACCCTGTATCCGAAGCGTTTATCATTCATAGGTATTAATATGGAGGTGTGGATTAAGGATCTCCCACCATTTTGGCTTGGTGCGATCATTATCCAATTGAGGGCCGGTTTTATAAGGAAATAGCCTTTAGTCCGTGTCTTGCTTTTGCCCGTACTCCTACCCGACATGAGCTGGGACGACAACGAATGGGAAGATTTCGACAGGCTCCTCACGGAGTACAGGGCCAGGAAGACCGAAGTCGACGTCGGCGCCTTCTACCCGTGTCCACCCGACCCCTTCGGATATGTCCACACGGCGGTAAGTTCAACCCCGGTTATAAGTTGAAGTTATAAAGTTCAGTTATATCCGGTCCTTCTACAGCTCCAAATTTTGGCCGAATATCAAAATGTTACCAAAAATGCCAGTGTATTGGGACTTTAAGGGTGGATTTAGATATAGAAAGTCTTACTTCATATAAGCCCGTTGGGTACAATGTATCGAATGAAAATTCATACTTTCATCTCGAATCGAGTTCCGTCCTTTTTGTCATCGGATTGTTTTATTTGGTGGAATGGTAAGCATGCGGTTTTTCGTCGTAGAGACAATGTTAAATCCTTTCTAAACAAACGGATGGGTAGAGACGAGACGTTCAATCATAATTTCATTTCACTAATAATCACATAGTAAGGTCATGAAGGAGGGGTGTATTAAGATAACGCCGAATCTCAGGGAGCTTGCTTTAAAAAGTCATGTGGACAAGAAGTCGTACGTACATGTATATAAAGCGTTTACATTAGCATGTAAATAAACGCTTAATAAATGTAATATACATTAAAAATTAAAATCTAGCTGTTAAAGGAATTTTTAACAACACCACCGTTAAAACAGTAAATTTCGTACAAATATTTATGTTAAAGATTTGCTATTATTTTTGTTCCATTCGGTAAAAAGTTTCACGACATACCCGAGTCAATCAGAAGAAGTCATCCATTGGCTACTCATCGGCTTCAGTAACTGATGAAGGAATTCAATTTGTTGTATATCAGTTGATACAGAGCTTTACTCAGTAGAAATTAATGAGAAATTGAGGGTAAAATTTAGCCATTATTTTATTTCATATCCGCTGCAACGATTTGTAAATATTTATCGAACAATTATCAGTATCATAGACGATTTGCGCAACAAGCGCCTAATTAAACCTAAATTTAATGTTTTCGGAATTTTACCTTTCAAAAACACATATCGTTTTCAATATACTGTTTGAATATATCGCCGTTTAGTTCTGCATATTTTAGAATGTTAAGAAGCCGTCAAATATTACGAGAGAAAATTAAATGCATCGCCATTTAGAACAAGCAGCCAATTTAATTCTCGATTTTTTTTTAGCTTTAGCTCCTTGCCGTTAATATTAGAATGGCAAAGGGCTAAAGCTGAGACGCCATAAAAAAGAATGTAAGTATTATCGTGATATATAAAGAGAAAAATAAAGTACAAAAGTGGCTCTGACTATAATGCTGATACAAAAAAAAGTCGACACTTTAAGTGCACTAGTGCAATCTGATAGCGAATTTAAATCGCTATAACTTGGGAGTTAATACAAAGAAAAAGAAACAAAGCTTTATCATATTAATCATAAAAACCTCTATATAAAATAAATATCTATTCAAACCTTACATGGCTAATAATTTAGTCGTTGGATACCCAATTTGGAGACATTTACAAGATTATAGGGATGATAGCGGCGGATATCCGCTTCACTTTTCCTACTAATAACTAGGCCGTGTAAATTACACGGATTTAAAACTAAAAATGCAGGCTAAAAACTATGCTTATTTAAAGTGGCCGAGTGGGAATGGAAGCCGTTGCTTTTATTTCTGACTTAATTGTCGGTTTTGCAGAATCGCTGCTGGCTTAGCGTGGATACGTCTAACACGGATGCGTATGTTGTAGATGTATGGGAGGTACACGAAAGAGCTCGGTGCCTTCGCGAAGGAAGAAGCGAAAAAACACAAGAAAAAGAAGAAAGAAGACGTCGACGTCGACGATCTCATACACTCAACCAAACAAAAAGGTGAGCTCATAGAAATCATGAGAATAGTTGTATACTTTGAAACAACGAAATATAAACGATAGGAATGTAAGTTTATTAAGGTCAATAACTGTTCAGATATTAATTTTAATAGTTCAGAAAATAATGTTCTTGTTTAAATAATGTAACTTGTTTTCAGCAGTATTTGTTATTATTGTTATTATAAAAGAAAGTTTATNTATATATATATATATATATATACGTTACATACTCGCTTGACCCTTATCTGTTGCAACCCTTCTCATTCCTCCCTTTTCGCACCTGCACGTGTTCACTTTCAAGAAACCCCTCCTTCATTACATCCCCAAGCCTTTGCTAATATTTTATAGCCTGCTGTAATTTTTATTCAATCCATCTTGGGCCTATAGTATTCTTTTTAAAAAATTAATTTAATGCACGTAAAACCATAATTTATAAATAATGAAATTTGAGTTATTTTGAGTTATTTTCTTGAAATATTTAGTCTGGTGATGTTTTGATTGCTGTTCAATGTGTGCATCACTCTACGGGCACTGACTTCCCCTATACTGACAATGAAAAATATAATTTTTCCGTTGTTTTTAACAAAGGAGGGAAATAATAATTTTTGGTACCTTATTGTTGCTTAAAAAAAATCTTGATCATAATATTATTATTGGACCTTAACATCATTAATTGTAATGTTTCATTAATAGCAAATAAACTAGCCACATTGAAATATACTGCTTGGATAGGTTCTGATGGTACTTCGGATCCTAAAGAAGAGATCTCTTCCCTGAGTCTTCGTTGTCCTGTTCATTTAACAGTGAATAGTGAGATAGTTCCAGATCAATGGAAGCTGCCTTGCGGAACTCCTGTTCACAAGAATGGAAAAAGAAATATTTTATATAACAACAGTAATAAGTAAATACTCCCTGATTGCCTTATCCTATTTGCTTTTCACAACCTTTAAAACTTTGTATCAAATGACCAGTACAAAAAGTTTGTTAAAGGATGATCTACTGCAATAAACTTTTTCCTGTAGGATTTCATTTTTAGTTCTGTTCAAATTGGTCAAATTGTCCATGAGACCTCTCCTGGCCCCTTGCTGGGCTAGTTTGCGTCCCTCTTACAGAATAAGCCATTTGTTATCTTGTTGACAAAGGTGCAGTTTCTGAGGTTGTTCACATTGATTACAGTGAACATCAGGGATCACATACTAGCCAAATATTATTTTTAATATTTTTCAGTTATGAAATACTGTAACAAAAAAAAGACAAGTTTCTCTTCTCAGATGATTTGAAGATTGGTGGGGGGGGGGTTAGAATGTGTTAGTAACTGCCTTTTGATCTTCTCCTATATGATCTGATTTATTTGAAAATTGATGCCACGATAGATTTGAGATTAACGATGAGAAATATAAATTCCTCCAATTTTCCAAACATAAAGAACTTTCTATACATATTTTGAAGAGGTAGATAAGATAACCAACCGATCTTGGAGTTATTTTTAATTCAAAACGATCATTTTGATTTTATCATAGGAATGACTTACAAAAACCTTGGGTTTATTAAACAAATGGCTCGAGATTTCACACATCCCTTTGCCATCAAAGTATCAATCCCTAGCCAGAAGTCATTTGGAATATGCTTTGACCCCAAATAATGTTTGTGACAATTGACAACTTGAGGATGAATTTCTGATCTCTGAGATGCTACAAAGCTGATCTCTTCATTTAATTTTAATATTTTAAGACAAATATTGCAACATTTTAATATTTTTATGTTCCATTTCATTGGACCCGCTGTGAGTCTTCATCCCTTAGTTAGTTCAGTTTCTGAATGAAACCAACATCCTCCATAGCCATGCATCATTTAAATTCTTACTACTTGATTGGGTGACTGATAATACTGTAATGTCACATTAATATCATTAGATTGGCACAATTTTTCATTTTTACTGTGTAATCCAGTATTACTTATTTATTAAATGTGAAGTTATTTATCTGTGGTCATGAATCATGACTCCTGTTTTGGGTTCATCTGTATAGACTTAAACAACAATAAGTAAATAAGTAAAAATGCTACAATTGTTGGTCTTACTATATTTCAAGATTTAATCAAATATGTTATTTATAGGCCGATGTAGAGGAAGAGTATCAAAAGTGGTTGCCTGGATCTGGAGACACACCTTTGCAAGACTTGGTGAAGACTGGGTGTTTCTTGCCCTTTTGGGTCTTATCATGGCTTTCCTCAGTTTCTTCATGGACCATGGAATTAACATGTGCAATAAAGGTAGACATACTAGGTTTTTCTAAATATTTGTGCTACATTATATTTTTATTCTTTAAATTACTATTATTCAAATTTGAATTTAGTTTATTTATTGTATTTAGTAATAGTAATCGTTTGGTTACACATTATATCTTATGCATTGCTTTTGCTCTGACGTTCTATTTACCCAAACGATATGTGAATATCATATAGGCATAAGAAGTACTTTTTGTTCCATCCAACTATCGTCCTGGCCTTTCAATAGGAATACCAACCGTCTAGCTGGAAACCTTTACAAGGCAATCCATTCAGTTGTAATGTACGATTTTCAACTTATTAAAGACAACAAGGAATCAAACTAGAAACCTGAGTGTTGGACACAATAATGATCTTGACCACCATGGTTCCATTACATTGCATTAGTTATATGTGTTTATGAACATTTCATGAACCGGTTTGATAAAATAGGAATCTGAATTAGAAAGAGTATTTTAGGTAAATTGACAACTCTTCACCCTAACATGTATCAATTTGTTAACATTTAAAATACTATTCTAATGACTGAAAATGATAAATTATTTTTTCTTAGGCAGAATATGGCTGTACAGGGACTTGGCGACACACCCAGTTGTACAATATTTTGCATGGGTGTCACTTCCTTTGTGCCTAATCCTTTTTTCTGCAGGATTTGTCCATATAGTTGCACCACAATCGATAGGTAAAAACTACGTTATAAGCAATCAGAGCAAAACTGTAATTTCTGATTTTGCAGGTTCTGGAATTCCAGAAATGAAAACCATCTTAAGAGGTGTGGCTCTTAAAGAATACCTGACATTTAGGACTTTGGTTGCAAAAGTCATTGGTTTGACCGCAACTCTAGGAAGTGGGCTACCACTTGGTAAAGAAGTGAGTATTAAATTTTGTTCTTTATATTCAGTCCACCAACTAAAAATTATGAGTTTTCAGGGACCGTTTGTACATATAGCCAGCATTGCTGCAACTCTACTTTCTAAGCTAGTCACTTCATTTCAAAGTATTTATGAAAATGAATCCCGTAATACAGAAATGTTGGCAGCAGCTTGTGCAGTCGGTGTTGCCAGCTGTTTTGGTGCGCCAATTGGAGGTGATATTACATATCTGCAAAGAAAGACTTTTTAAATAATCCTATGTATTTGCAAAAGGTGTTCTATTTAGCATTGAAGTAACAACTGTGTATTTTGCCATACGAAATTACTGGCGAGGTTTTTTTACTGCTGTATGCGGCGCTACCGTCTTCAAGTTACTTGGTGTCTGGTCCAGGAGAGAAGGTGAGTATAGGATTGTTTTAATTTTTTATAATTTTAAAACAAAACATTTATTATCAGATACTGTCAAGGCGTATTTCCAGACCAATTTCACGATGGACTTTCCCTTCGACCCACAAGAACTTCTAGTCTTTTCATTGATGGGGTGAGCTATAGACTCAGTAATTTTATTCATGAGCCTTTAATGACTTGAAATAGGTTATAAATAAATTTGAATCGTTGATCTGTATTCCGTATTCATTAAATCAATACATATTGCATATTTTTCTTAAACAATCTTGTCGCCTGCCTATAAAATGTATATTTATTTTATTTCATTAATATATTTCATCAAATAATTATCACCTTAAACATTGTATAACTCAATATTCTTTAACTTTTAGTATCATTGTAATTAAAGTTCTTGTTTGTGTTGAAAGAACTTTCTCACTTTTCATTAAAATAGATAGTGGATCAGAGAATAAACTGTAAGTACAGATCTTATTACTCGCTATAAGCTATCAATATCTTTTTACTTCATTAAACAAATATTCATGGTATTACCAAATCTCAATATTAATTATCGCATACAAAAGGATAAAACAGACTTGTACTAAAATATTTATTTCAATTTATTAATTACCTTTCAATCTAACATATACTAATACACAAATAAAATCTACAAAAATAACTGGTTTGGGTTATGCTAAAATTTACAGAAAAATAACAGGCTTGATAATAATCTGTAAGTTAATAACATTTGTATCATTTATACAAACTTTTTTTTTTGGGGGGGGGGAGAATTCTTTGGTAAACTTGTTAATCATTATACTATTTTGAAAGTACCGTGTTTAAAGATTACACCTTTTTAAACATCAGGGTTGTTTGTGGACTCGGAGGTGCCCTCTATGTTTGGTCACACAGGCAGTATGTGCTGTTCATGAGACGAAACAAGAGGATGAATTCATTTCTTCAGAAGAAGTACGTGAGTATTCATTTCTCCTTTCTTTCTCGCACAGCAAACAAGGTGAAATATCAAGCTGTAAACACAATTTCAGTCGATTTTTGTACCCTGGAATTGTAGTCTTACTTTCATCATCTGTATCATTTCCCCTTGGACTGGGCCGCTACATGGCTGCCGACTTAAACACCCATGACCAAGTAATCATTTGATATATCAAATAAAATAATATTTGTTAAAACAAACAAACAAAAATAGGTTGTAGGTCTCTTCAGTAATTTCACCTGGAGTAAGGAAGATTTCACAGTCGAGGAAGCAGAAGTTTTAATGCACTGGAAAACTGATCATACGGATACATTCGTCAGCCTGGCTGGTTTTATTTTATTTACTGTAATTATATTTACTCAAATATTTTTTCTACAAAGAGCTATTTTATATTATTAAGTTATAAATCAATAACAAGAAGTCATAAAAGTAATAAGGACAAGACAAACAAGGAATGTTGAAAGGCACAAAACCGTTTTGTATTATTTATTTTGTATTATATGTAACCTTTAAGTTATTTAAGTTTATCAAAACTTGTACATGTTTGTGATGGAATGTTCATTATTCCAGGAATAAAAATGAGGAAACTATAATACAGAATATTTTTAAATGTTTTAGAAAATTTAAATTTAAAATGTATTAGTGTTTGTGTTTAGTAGCGAGATTAATGTATGTTTTAGTTTGTTTTTTCAATAGTCGCCTCAACAATCCCAGTGCCTAGTGGAAGTTTTATACCTGTTTTCAAAATTGGAGCAGCTCTTGGAAGAGTAGCTGGAGAGCTGATGCATGTCGTCTTCCCTAAAGGAATCTTTCACAAGGAATTTGTGACTCCTATCATCCCAGGTAAATACCAATTAATTTATCTATTTATTTACACTAAATCACCATGTTAGCTAACAAAATCTTAAATAATTTTTAACATGCCTGGGGAGGTCCTGAGTTACCTCAATACTTATTCAATTTTTTGGTATTGTAAAGTTGTTTTATTTTCAACATGGAATTATTAAGATTAAATTAATTATTTATTTATTAAATTATTTTTTTAAAAACATGAAAATTTTTTGAAGGTAAATGTAATGCCTAATTTCACTAATTTCGTGGTCTGCTTGATCAATTAATACATTACAATTAATTAAGGTTTTTAGCTGAGATGAATCCCGCTCGTGCCATTAACTTTTTTTCATCTCAACTAAAAACCTTAATTAATTGTAATGCCTAATATTGTTCTATAGTTAATATTTTATACTGTCATTATTATTATTTTGTTTGTATTTCAAGTCATATTCTTGCATTTATGTAATCTATATATGTATATTTTAACATTTATAAATGTATATTGTCATTTGGCTTTTTCTGCAGTAATAAGGATAATAATAATGATTATGAACAGAGAAAATTATATCTTTTTCAAGGTGGGTATGCAACAGTAGGGGCCGCTGCTTTCTCTGGTGCTGTAACGCACACAATTTCTGTGTCAGTGATTGTTTTTGAAATGACTGGACAAATCACACACATCATACCAATAATGGTGTGTTCTTGAACCATGAATAAATATTACGTAAATAATCACAATGTATATAATGATTGTTGTAGATTGCTGTTTTGATTGCAAATGCTATCGCTTCTCTTTTACAACCCTCACTATATGACAGTATAATTTTAATTAAAAAACTTCCTTACTTACCGGATCTTCTTCCTTCAAGTTCAGGTATCTGTGCATTTCCTACCATTGTAAAAAACTCGGTACATTCGTTATTTTTTAATTTTTGTAGGAATTTATAATGTATATGTTGAGGATTTTATGGTACAGGATGTGAAATTTATTTGGGACAACATGAGCTATCATGACTTGAAAGCAGTTCTCAAAGAAAATAGAAATCTGAGGAGCTTTCCTCTTGTCGACAAACCTGGTATTTTATTACTATTATTATTTTTACCAAAGTACTAAGCAAAAAATCTCAAATATTTTTGTCTGTAGAAAACATGATTCTCTTAGGATCAATACAGAGGTTAGAGTTAATTAAAATTATCGAGAAGCATGTCGGTAGAGAACGGAGGTTACAGGTTGTTGCACAGTGGCAAAAAGAAGCACAGGAGAGGTAGTACCGCTTTCAGTTCTGTTTATTTAGAAACAAATACATTTGTTTGAACAGATACTTATTTGTAAGGGCAAAAGAAGAAGAGAAAAGGAGAAAAGAAAATGAAAAACAGAGAAGGCCATCAAGATTTGAAGTCACACCAGCACCAGACATACTGAAGATGAAGCAGCAATCCAGTGGAAACATAAACACTCTTGTAGATCGAGTGAGATCATATTGTACATGGACAATTGAGACATAATTCAAACTTTTAATCGGTTTTATTTCCAGCCTCAATTCAATCCAGTTTTTGGCACACAACCCAAAAAGTCAATATTGAAAAAGACAAACTCATTCAATCTGAGGCAGTACAGCCCACTCATGACACCTGTCAATACACCATACACCACTGTTACAGGAGCTGAAAGCAGGTTAGTTGTTGATATGTTTTTGTATTGGAATATAACTTTTTTTTTGGGGGGGGGAGTTTGTACCAAATGCGTTCGTGAGTGACAAATGCGTTCATTGTGTTCACTTGTTGTACAGGATTAGAATGGCTTTTGAAGCCATTTTCCACAAGTCGACAACTCTTCAGGATGTAGACCCTAGTCCAGGAGGAAGCCCAGAGCAGGCATGCCTCACACCTGTGGTAACCCCTTCCCCCTCTTTACCTGCAAGCCCCGGGCCTAATAAAAAAGTTCAACTTGTAAGTAGCACATATAAAAAAGAAATGTTTACATTTGTATTTGACATGCACTTTTAATTTCTCAGCCAAGGGAAAGAGTGATAGATATGTCGCCAGAAGACCAAAAGGAGTGGGAAGAAGAGGAGTTGTGTCGGGGTGTCAGCTTCACCGATTGTCATATAGATCCGTCTCCATTCCAGCTAATCGCTAGGACATCTCTTCTAAAAGCACATTCCATATTCTCCCTTGTGGGAATCAATCATGCCTATGTTACTAACATCGGGAAACTCGTAGGAGTTGTGGCCCTCAAAGAGGTTTGTTTGTTCAACATGTTGATCATTTTTTCAGTTTAACCAACTTTTTTGCATAGTTGCGGAAAGCAATTGAAGATTCAAATGCTGGAAATATTCCTGGACATCTTCCTACACATGGACTTCCATTGATCAATAATAATGACAATCCTGTCAAAGGGAACAATACTACTAGTCCCTCTTGAAAATCTCAGCTGGTTTGGGATTAAAAAAAGAAAAGTAATTAATGAATATTGTGATATATCAAAATATTAGAATTATCTATAATGTAAATATTAATTACAAAGGTTACAAACAAAAGAGAAAGAATGTGAATTCTTGATATTTAAAATTTTTAGCCCTCTAAGCAATTTTATTTTATTTTTTTTTTTTTAATTTTTACTTATTGACATAGTCGAGTCTTACATTTTGTGTTCAATAAATGACAACCCATGAAATATTTTATAATTTAAGAGATGAGTTTTTTCCCCAAGGGAAAGTTACTTGTAATTCATCAAATTTGTTCATGATGTAAAAATTATCATTGAATCAATAAATCTCAAATTCTCAATCAATTCCTAAAATTCTGTATGTATCAGTTAATATTATTAAATATTGCATGTCTACTGAAAATAAAGAATAAGAGAAGAAATGCTTATATAGGTAGGTACATCATTAATTTTTAGCTTTAAATAAAACAATTATGCACATGTTTCTGGAATTAAAATATTTTAAAAAATATTACTTAAAATCAAGTCTTATTCCAAAAAACCGTTAGTAATTTTGTGATTACTAGTTATAATAATAATGCTTTATTTATTATTTCAACATTTTACAATATTTTATAGTAAGTAAAGATTTTATTAGCATGCTATAAAGGCATGAAAACGATTGTCTGTCAACCAAAAATTTGTCATATAAAAAAATACAATAACAACTAACGATTAAAAATAAATAAAAAATTCAGGGCATGATGATGTAAGGAAAACAATACTATATATACAAATATGAACTAAGATATTACCAATTTATACAATAAAAAAAAAAACAACAAAAATTAAAAATAAACTTATATATCTCTTCCTTCTAAGCGAGAATATCAATTTCAAAAGTTGAAATACCGCACTAGTTCAGATCTATAAAACCATGCTTCACGTGCATCTAGCAAGTGCCTGACTATGATCATTAATTGAGTTCAGTAGGCAAAGCAGCTGAGCTGTAGTCAACATTCGCTGCCCCAGATGCAAAAGACTAAACTCAGCCAACACAGTGCACTCAGCAAAAAAATGAAAAACGCCCCTTTTTTTTGTGAGTTGCATAACGCACTTTGTTGCCTTCCAACCTCCCTCCAAGGAACAAAATTTAAATGCACTTGCTCCACCTTAGTTTTACCAGCCAGCAAAGTTCTGAGAGTCTAAGGTAGTGGTTACTTCTTCGTGCAATGATACCTTCTTTACGTTCATTATCAATAATCTTTTACAAAAACAGGTAATTTAATAAAATTAATTCTTCAAAACAGTTTAGAATCAAAAACAATATTCACCTCATCAATCAAATGCATATTTGTGAACAATTACAATTCATCAAGCCGCTGTTAATGTTGACGAAGCACTTGGTCCTGTTTAATAAAATGAAAACTCAAAACCACCATAAACATTCGTCAATTCAAACAGGTAACTTATGTGAGTAAAACTACCTTTTCCAAAAAGTGAATTGCCATACTCACCTCACCTCAAATCATTTCTATTAAAACAGATTTTGAACTGCATTGTAATAAGGCTAAAACTGGGATAGAAAATGAAGACGCAACATTTGTATAAACTAGTTATACAAATTATAGCACAAATTTACAAAGAAGCAATTGTCATGATTTAGCCAGAAGGTATAAGTAGATAGATATAGACAAGGAGATATCAAATTTGTCAAGATTTTGACTTTAGTTTTTAATTATATTTTTAATAAATTGAACTATATTGGGAAAGGCTTCATATGGCTAAACAACCTTTTGAAAAGGTAAAGAAAGTATGACATACTTTAATAAACTTCAAATGCCAGGATGGCAAATGAAATTGAATAAAGTGATTTATTTAGAGCCTAGAAAACATAAAAATTCACACTAGATAGATAATAGGCTTGATTTTCTATTTAATGGAATTTGAAATTCTGTTGTTAAGTGTATCTATGCTTTTGCAAAGTCCCCAGGGCACTCTCAACACAACACACAGTAATGGCACATCTACACAGAAACAAAAAACAAACACTTTGAGCGCTGAAGATGATCTAAATAAAAATTGAAACATTGGCACGATTAAGAAAATGTTTTTTTAAACCTACGTCACACCAGACCGCATCTCACAATCTCCAAATAACCTTTGAAAAAGACGGAGAAACTTGCTCTCTCTCGGAAATTTCTCTACCTTTTTGAGTTTAATTAACAATAAGTGCGATAAAAAGATAGAGAGTTAGCAAATTATTTAGTGATGGAAATAATCTCTTGAACACATTAAAAATGGAAGTTTACATGGTGTTCAGAATTGTTTTTTGCGAATGACCCCAACCGATTTTAAAAAGATAGTAACCAAAGTTTTGAAAGAAAAATTCCAATTTTAGGGAGTCTATTTCCCTGACCAGCATATTATCAGTCACACTTCATAGATATTCAAATTTCAGAAAATACTAACCCACAACCTACCACAGCAATGATTCAGATGCAGCCAAGACGCATACGAGATTCACACCAGACACCACAGGTCTCAGTGAATACTAGGCTTATAATAAAAATGCTATATGATATATCCATAATCTTTGTATGAAGTCTAGCTTTAACTTCTAAATTAGGCTTCTCATTTTGTATTCATTGAAATCTTAAAAATATTATTGAGATATTAAACTTACCTTGACATACTTACAGTTAATGAATATTTACAAGACATAATATTTTTCCATTTTTTATTTCTTTATAAAAATGTATTTTACATGATCAACTATATATCTTTCCACCTAATAACAAGCTTTTATCACATCTCTTGTATTTTGCCAAAAATTCTGCCATTTTCTTCATTTCATTGATGTTAAAATTTAAACAAAAACATTGGAAAAATGGGGGGAAGGGGAGATGTAAATTTTGATAATTATGTAACAAAGTTTATTATTTGCATTTATACACATGCCCACACTCATGCACCATTCATACATTTAAACAATGTTGTCAAAAGTTTATTAAAGTCTCTAACAACATAAATAAAGACTCGGTGTTAACTCTACTGTCTGGACAGCTAAAAGTAAGAATTAATAATAAATTTCCAACATGCTCATTTAATGAATCTAATTTTTAATTGAAGTAAAAAATTTTCAATTCTAATTCCTCCCTCCCAGTCAACTATCTTGATATTTATTGATATAAATATTGTATTTAGCATATTTCTATGTTATAAATAAATAGCTAATAATAATATACAAATATCTTCTATTTTGACACTTCACTTTACCATCTATAACCAGAAACTGTGCATATTGGTGTTGTTTATTTTTATGCTTTCTTTTATAATATTGTTTATAAAAACATTAATGTGCACAATATTATAAGCTGTAACTAGCACCAGCAATAGGTCCAAAATAAATGTTATTTTTCCCTGAAATTTCTATATATACAACTTTTATTCAACTAGAAACAATGAAAGTCGTTATGGTGTTACATATTATTGCTCCAGATTTTCTAAAATTTATATATAATGAGTCTAGTGCCTTTAACTCTAAAAATCAGGATCAATATACTTTTTTTATAGTATGTACATACGTATTTTCATTTTGCCAAGAATAACCTATAAAATTGATTTATTAATATTAACTATCATTCTAACTGAACAAATATTTTATTATTATAATCAGCAGTTAATTTTTACATTATATGAAGTTATATACCAAATTCAGGTATACTAAGATTTTTTAAAAAATAATATATATATATATATATATATATATATATTCTTGTATGTACATATGTGTGGATGTGTCTGTGCATGTGTGTGAGTGTGTGGATGTGTGTATATATATTATAAAAACATAACAGACAAAAGCCCCTTAGCACATTTTAGTGTGTGAAATTGTTTTTATTTATTTTTCAAAAAAGAAATACGGTAAATGTATTTTTATCAATAGCGTATTTACAATCAAACTTGGTTCATCTTACCGTCTTCAATAAATGAAATTAATAATAAGTGTACATTTTTCTCCATTGCTTATATTTACATTCTACAATAATAACTTTTAATAATGTAATAAATTTAACAATAACTTATGTAATAATAATATCAAGGTTGGAAGTCTAATCATGAAATTTTATTGTAAAATGTTATAAATTTTTATTGCAATTCATTGATTTTGTGCTAAATATGTACACTTGTGTCAATTCACACTACACATACTCCAATGTAAAACACAGTCCTGCAATTTTTTATTTTATTTTTTTAAGTAAAGGGGCTAACTCCGCTGACATTATCACAGCCATCAGGATCAATTTATTAACAAAAAGCCACTTATAAAAGGATCAAAAATCCTTTTTTTTTTAATTATTTGAATTAGTTTGGACTGAGGTGTCAAGCATTTTTAGGATAGTGCTTCAGACTTCAATCACAAGGCACACCAAGGCCTGTATTCTCAACCACCTATTTAAATAATATACATATTAATTGGTTTCACAATTGCTCACAACTAGAGTTGTCATTTTTTAGACTTGTGAATAAATTAAATATTACTATTTAATTTATGTAAAAATAAACATACATTAAAATCATTTTGTAATTTAAATCTCTTTAAAAACTTATTTTATTTCTTAATTACAGGCTATTATAATTTTTCAGTTACTTATAAAAATCAATATTAACTTATTTCAAGAAAAAAAAGTTGCATACATAAAAAGGAGGGCCAAAGTCAAAGTTGTAGAAAAATTAATTTGCATTGTTATTTTACATCAATATGCACATGTAAATATTTCACTAATTTTGTGTTTACATTGTGATTTTCCCAAAATTGTCTTTTCACAAAAGAAAGAATGCAAAAATTCATTAGTTTTCTTTTGGTTCATTATTTTTCTCTTATACATCTGCACCTTATAAATCTTCTACAAATGTGATGGGTGTCTCGGTTGTTATGTACCTGTCACATGTACCTTGTGACATCCAAATTAGATCTGATGTGGTTGAATAGTACATGTGGTAAACTGCGAGAACAACAATCACATGCATTATATTGTGAGAGTTAAGGTAAAAGTCCAGGCATCCGGGAAACCATTTTTCTGGAACATTTGATGCACCGATTGCACCACCGATAACAGATAGCACGTCCTGTAAACTACTTTTTGTTATAATAATTTTCAAGGCAAAACATGATCTATCAATTCACCTGTAATATAACATCTGTATTTGTCTTTGGATCACCTCCTCCATACTTAGTCAATCTTAACACGCACAACAGATTACGCATTAGAAAGGGAAGTGCAAAACAAAGTCTTCTGTTCCATGGAGAACTGGCTGCCAATGCCTGAAATTTGTTTATATTATACTTTATTATAAATAATTTGATTGACACTACATAACACTCAAGTGTTTATTGTCCTAGTAACTGTATTCAGAACTAGCCCATGTTATATACAATTTTATACCCATGTAAATATGTACAAATTTAATTAATTTTATTGAAAAATGTTTTACAATATTTCTGAGGTAGGAAAAAAAACGTTTGGTGAAAACATAATTATACGTAATTTTAGAATGACATTTTATGTACAATGACAGGCAAAAAATTCCGCATATTTGTTTTTCTTACTTTTGATCAGAAAAAGTGTTTTTTTAATTTTTGTTAATTTAATTATCATTTGTACAAATTATACACATTACATAATGAGATACAATAGGATTTTATTATTTTTACATATATACAGAGGAAACCCAGCAAACTTTTGTGAGGGTTTGGATTGGAAGGACAGTATTTTTTGGATCTTAGAAGATTTTGCGGTGCCTCTTATGTTCAAATCTGTTTCAGTAGTATCTTGTAAAGTATTAGTTTGTTTTTTGTTGATATGTGTGATATTCTTGATAACAATTCGTACAGCAGTCCAAAGTGTACGTTTAATTCTTGTCTTTTAATTTGTGTATGTCGGTTGTAGGTTTAGTAGTCCGATTTTTTTATGAACTTGGAGGAATCGTTCCGTTAGGTAAGAGTGAAGGTTTTAGGTACAATGTATTTGTAAAGACACGTTTTAATTTGTGTAGGAGACTCATGCCAGACGCGATCAAACAATCATGTGAATAAAGGCCCTCAAGCAGTATTGATTATGCTCAAGGGATGAGGATATACGGTCCACAATGGAAAGCACCTTTTGTGTTTTGGAATGTTAAGGACGAAAATCGAACTGTTGATCTCTGGAAAGGTTGAAGTTTATTGTGGGGGTCAATCTTCTCTTCTTTTTCTTTCTCAAATATTTTTGAAAAAAGAGGAAGTAGAATTGATGGTCGGCGAGTCGGTGAACTCCGTTTCCGGTTCAACAAGGGAGTCAACAAGTAAAAACATAAATGTAAATATAAAAGTCGTATGTGTGTACACTATAGACGCAAAAACTACTGAACGGTTTCGCTGAAAATTTCATACCTCGTTCTTATTAGTGCCAGGAGCGTTTAAAGACTTATATAAATAGCATATGAATAAAAATGAGGGACGTAAGGATTTTTTAAAATATGTGCTAGAAATTTGTGGCACCCATTTTCCATCTGTTTTCTTTCCAGACCTCTTCGGCTTCCGGTATAATTACACGTCTCCCGCATCTTTCGAATTCCGACTCAGAGGTGCTAACACTCCTCAGTTGCAAAAACTGCTGAATCGGTTTCGGTAATGTAAAGATACATACTTCACTGCTGTCATTTACTAGAGGCAACAGTGGTGTAGGTGAGAGAACGGCTAATGGATAAATAAATAACCAGCCTGTGGCCTGACCCTGCCGAAACCCTAAGCCTAACCATCAAAACTGAGAAATGAGCTACGAGTGTATTCAGTTTATTTGGTGTAGTATTATTGGCGAACGTTCGTGGGCCAACAACATTTCAAAATTTAAGAACAATTGATGGTTGTTTATGCGCAAGATATAGAATAGAATGAAAAAATTGAATTTACTTGAAAACAATGCATAATTTTCGCTAGCTGATGCGATAATTTCTCCTCATGCAAACCAAATGCACGCTTTATTTGCAATCGTAATTCCATCAAATCCAAATTAATTATGGGAAAAATATAAAGAGTTTATGACAGCACATTGTTCCGACCTCGTATTTTCGTAGTTTAAACTACAACATACAAAGCATTGTCACAATTGGCGATGATATCACTTAATCGAATATCCACTGACATATACTGAATTACAAAGCGAAAAAACTTCAACATCAATGAATTAAATATATTTGAAATATACCAAAGTTACTTCAAGACCGAAATACGTTTTTGATGAGATAATGCGAGTAACAAATGATGAAAGTGATGGAATGTATTTCTTGGATACACCAGGAGGCAAAGGAAAAACATTTCTTATTTCAATGGAACTGGTAAACATACGTGCACATCATATCGCATCGGCAATAGCATCATCTGGGATTGCGGTGACTCTTGCGGATGGTTTCGAACAGTTCATTCAACATTTAAATTGCCATGGAATATACAAAATTTTATGACGTGCAACATATCAAAACATCGGGAGTGAGTAAAATATTCCAGTAATGCAAGATATGTATTTGGGATGAATACACAATGGCGCATAAAACATTGTTGGAAGTAATAGATAGAACGTTGCGTGATTTACGTGAAAACGAACCGCCATTCGTTGGTGAGCTAATGTTATTAACAGGTGATTTTCGACTGATGAATTAGTATGCGTATTTAATGCACATATCATTGACGACAAACATGCGTGTTAAATTACAAAAGGATCCTTCTGTAGAACATTTTACGATGCATTGGGTATTGAAAATGGGAAAATTATAGAAACAACAGGATGCATTTAATTACCAAACAGTTTGTACAATATCACTCACTCACAAGAAAAACTGTTTCAATGTGTATTTACAGATACCAAACAAAATTACAAAAGACATCAATAATGAAGTGAAAGCGCAGTATTAACTGCAAAAAAAGGTGGATGTCAATTTTATTAGTATCATCATACAACATACCAGCAGAAGCAGATATTCACCGATTTGTTTGATTTTTATACCGATAGGAATGAAGTTTGCCATCAAACATGCAGATTCATATGACATCGTGATGTCTGATAGCTATTGGACCTTTTCAAACACCTGAAGATTGTCTTCTTATTTATCTCCCTCATCCAAGCTGAAGCTTCGTAGGTCAACTTCGGAAGAATTGCTCCGTCATAAATCACTCGCAGAGTGTCATAACCAAGTCCCCAACTCACTTTAGCTATCCTCGACAACGCGTTGTGTTGATTTAAGTGAGTATAAGTTGATATATCCATTTGATTGATGGAGTACAACTGAGTTTAAGTAATTGATAGAACAAAAAAATCTTAATCTACTGTCTAGAATTAAGCGTACCAAAACGTCAACGCATGATATATAGGCCAAATGAATAATATTTATAACTGCTTGAAGAGTTTTTGAGTGAGTCCGAAAATTTCAAATTCCATTTAATGGGTGCGGATATGAAAACAAATATTATGTACTTTAACATATATATTATATAAAATAGTTAAAAATTTTACTAAAAAATATATAAAAAATATCTGAATACTCTTTCGGAATATGATTTTTCCCACTTAATAAAGTTACAAGCATTACAAATAACTCTCATATTTTCAATTAGAATGAATCCCAAAATCTTAATTTTGGTTATTGATGATATTCAACAATAATATTACTGATTATTTCCCTGTGTCTGTAACAAGTACTAAAAATGAAGAAACTATTTTGAATGCAAAGGACTAATTTACTTTTTTTTTCAAAACATTTTATTTATCGAAATTAATCAAATTAATTTTACACTATGTCCGTATTGTAGTCATAATTATTGATAATAATTCTTAAATATTTATATGTGATTGTTTCGAGTATTTTATTGTTTGATCCCGATGCAGTGTGCAAGGTGTATTAGAATTTTGTTTTTTAGGCTTGACATAGATTTTCTATTAAAATACGGTGCCATTTTGAACATGGCTTCATAGCTCAATCACATTTATCTGTAATATGCTTTAAAAAAGTTACGTCCTTAAATCCTTAGATATTTTGAAGCTTCTATAGATAAGTTAAGGATATTTGGTCGACCTTTGGTGAAAATCACTATTTTGTACCGTTCATTTTCATCCTTAATTTCTATTTCATCGTAGACTTTTCAAGTCTCATTTTAACCTTTGTATCCCTTTTAAAGAACTTTAAACCGAGATGGTGAACAAATTTTGATCCTTCAACCATGGTCCCAACCCTCTTCATCATAATCAACAAGTAAACGAGCCCATAGGATACGAACCGCTTTATGTAGTCACGTAAGTTAACACAATAAATAAATAAAACTGAATTAAAAATATAAAACAACCACTTTTTCGAGAGGTAAAGGTTTTTAATTAGGAAATTAAAATCATTTAAATATGTAATATTAAGTGACCGTTATGTAATGATTATTTAGAGATCGGGTGATGCGGTCTGGTGCGATGTACGTTTAGAAAATCATTTTCTTTGTTGTGCCAACGTTTCGATTTTTATTGACATCTTCAGGGCCTGGGATTTATAAACATATAAACATTGAGAACTGACGGTAGAAAATGAGTATTGGTCGTTAAATGCCATAAAGGGGCTCAAATGTGTAAACTAAATGAATTTGTTTTATTCATTTATTTTACTTTTTTATTATATCTCATTGAGATTACGAGACGTTTTAAATACATCTTAAACTGGAAAAAATTTCATACCATCCCAGTAAAATAAATAACTGAATTTTTGAGAGCATTTTATTTGGATTCAATTTTTACGTGTATGGTTTTAGAAATGCAATACCCATAATAACTAAATAAACCCTAGACAAGTCCAGTTAAACGAAACACATTAAAAAAATTATTTAAACATATATAAACTGTTAGCGTGTTGGCTTTCTATTCAGTGAGAGCAAATGGTCGATGGTTTGGGAAACTTTAGAAGCTATGTGAGTCCAATAATAGAAAAGAAAATCCATTTGTTTGGAGGTATACGTCACCGATTGCCGTATCAGTACCAACAATGGAATAACCTCGGCTGTTGGAACAGAAATTCAGACTTGGCAAATTTTGACAGTTGCCTTATCAAACATTGGAAGGCTTCATTATTTTTCATTTGACTCCTGTGGGACTGACTTCGTCCTCATCTTTAGTCTTGTCTGTCACTCGAGATGTACCGAATGGAAACTACTCATTCGCTGACTACTCTCCTTTGTGGGTTTTTGCACGATTTAAACAAGTGAAAAAGATTCTCCAAGGATTCTGGGATCAAATAGAAAAAGATCAAATTAATTGATTGATTAAGTCATTGTCAATTATTGTACTTTTAGGGACTTAAGAATGTCCTAATATCTGGAATATGGCTGAGATATATATGGTAGCAAAACAAGATGAAATAATCCACAATGTTTGTCTCTCATTGCTTCCAGTAATCTCAAAACTATTTGAAAATCTAGTGTTGCAAAGTTTGGATTTAGAGCCATTCATTCAAACATCGATCAGAAACATAGAATCCTTAATTTTATAGAAAAAGCTAAATAAGGGCAACCTGCCCTTCAGGGGTGTAAACTCTGCATGTCTTCGTTACTAAATGTAACGTCAGAATCTATCAGTCACTTTCTTGGTATGTAGTTTCTAAAACGAGGTAAGGGATAGGGATAGGAATAAGAGAGGCGGCCACAAGGCCTACTGCACCTCGACCTAAATAGATCTATTGTGTTCCTCTGTTAATTATAACTCACTGGCCAGCTTCAGGCTATTAACCAGCCTCCACAGCTTTGCCAGCGGTTCCTCGGTGTAGGATCTTGCTTGTGGTTTTTCTTGTCCTAGTTGCAAGAACCTGCACCTACATAACAACGAGGTAAGTGAATAAACCGTTAATCTACTGTCCCAATACAGCTAGATATCTAGATGTACTTCATGAAAATCAAAACAAAAAATTCGCGCAGCATATCGCTGAATTCATTCACCTTGACAGTGCAACGTCACTTGTTACCTTTTCGCTGACTATGGGAAGTATGGTTTATCTAAAAATTCAAGTAACTTATTTGTGTGTCTTATAATTGTTTTCACTAGTCCATACGTTTTTAGACAATTTTTTCAGGTTCTAACTTCTTATCGGATTGAGAAAAAAATTGTTATTAGAATCTTTTATACCTAGTTTGATAAATGAAGGACAATGAGCAGTTTTTCATTTGTAAATCTGTTTTAAAACAAAATGCTTTCAATTATACCTTTCATCTGGGTATGTACTTGTTTTCATACTTCACCCCCCCCCCGTTATTAGCCCCACGTGGATCTTCTAGACTTTCTAGAATACTACTGAGACTAGTTGATCGGTCGCGAGTTAACCCACCATACAGCGGATTTCACTTCCATCAACAATGTTCTGAATCGAAATTCACTGTCTTTCAGGTAACCGTCCGGCATCACTAGCCAGGGTTACAGGCATTGACACGGCGGCTCATTTTAGCGATCCTGAATTCGAATCCAAATTATTTACAATTTTTCAGTGGAAAAACACCCTGAGATTTAGGTTTAAAAAAATTAACTTTGCCGTAGTAAATGCCAACATTTGCTGTCTTTCATGCTTCACATTTTGAGACTAGATTTTACATTTAAGGTAACGTTTCATGGTTCATTCGGAATAAGATAAAAATAATTCATTTAATACTTACAGAATGTACAAACTCGGATAAGGTAAAAACTTCCTCATTTAGAAAAAATTTCATCATAAAAGCCTATTTAATTAAATAGAAATTATATAAAATTTCAATTTTTCTAACCTTGAATAGTCCGACGAGGGCGAAGATACAGTAGCAGGAAATGATGAGCCATTGCAAGATGCGGGGTAAACAGTATACAGATGCGCAGACCATTGGCAAAGCTCCTGTGATTAATACAACACATAGTCAACACCAACAAGCAAGGCAACGCTCAAATGCAACATTTGATGCAAAATCATGATTGACAACAAACATAACTTTCATGTTTAAAGACGAATAAAGACTTTGTTTCTGAAGCATTTACTTATTACTTAATCGTTTTTTTTTTTCCAACAGACACTTGAAATTGATGTTTACATGCCCTACAGATTTACTGACAATGCAATAAAAACTAAAGAAAACATATACAAAAAAAATTGCAAAAACACTGAGAGTTTGGTATTTTATATAATCAAATTTTGTGCTCACCGAAGCTTTGTGATACCCAAATGCCGAGCATGTCGAGTTGAAGGAGCCTCTGGTAAAATCCAGGTGGTTGTTTCATGTTCATGAAAAGATGGTAAATGAAAGATCCAATCCAGGGAGCGACTGAACCCGCGATATGACACCAGGCAAGGAAATGCGAGTCGATCTGGGACCACGGCATTACTCGAGGTACGACAACTAAAATTATTATTATGGGTACTCCTGAAACAATAAAATTACATAGCTATATANATACAGCAAACATAACCAATTCGTGCGAATATATCATTAAATGAACTTTATTATTTTCAATCTTATTTGGAGATCGTGAGATGCGGTCTGGTGTGACTTATCGTGCAAACGTTTCGATCTTTATTGAGATCATCTTCAGGGCTCAAAGTGTTTGTTTTCTGTGAGAGTGCCCCCTTTCAACCCGACACCCAATAATGACTCATCTATACAGAAAACAAACACTTTGAGCCCTGAAGATGATCTCAATAAAGATCGAAACGTTGGCACGATAAAGTAAACGTTTTTCTAAAACCTACGTCACACCAGACCTCATCTCACGATCTCCAAATAATCATTAACTAAAGGTCACTAAAACACCTCACAATCAATCTGTTATTGTATTCGGGAACTAATATATTTTATTTTTATTATATTTTCAACCTCATTTTAAAATCTCTATTGCTTGAAAACGTTTATCAGATTTTCACCGATATCATCATACAAATTGAATTTAAACAAATTTTTAAAAAAGTCAGTCCATTAAAATTTGATGTCAGTAATTTTAATGGAAATATGTTGTTTGAAACGGTTTCTATGGCGAAATGTTCGAATGTATGATGTGATTTACAAATACTGTTAAACTCACGAATTTCTTGTGACGCGAAATTATCGATCGATCCCGAAGGCCCGTGGTGCGTCACATTCACTTTTCGTTCAACGATCGCTACTAAATAAACAATAGAACACTTCACACAATTACAACTTCATTCATAACTTCGAATTTTAAATTATTAAATGACCTTTTAAAAAAAACTCTACCTATTACATATTTATACGTTTTCATTCATACCTTTACGGTACGCGTCCTATTGGCATGGATGTTTTAATTTTCTGTTATGCAATTCCATAAAACTAGTTATCTGTTCTATTAAGAATTATGTAAATTATAAAGATCTATTTTCCATAGTTTGTCTTGAGTCATCCTAAAAAAGTCAGCGTTATACAGACGGACAAATCTCAGCGGCATTTAGCGATTATGAAAAACTAAAGTACATAATCTTTAATTGTTGATCAAAGTGTATTAGCGAAAGTAGTTGAGTGTAGGAACGTCAAGAAATAAGCAATGAGATTACGAACTGCCAATTCTGCTCTGTCTAGAACTGTTAGAACAGAGTGAGAATGGTTTTGGCTAAAACCCTTCCATACCGGATTGCTATTTGTGGTTTATCGTGACACGAAGAACACGAAGAATCAGTTGGTTTGTTGAAAAGGCGGTCATTGTTCACCGATCCATTATTGGACGGCACATTTCGTTGCCGCACAAGCCGCGGGATCGATACAACCGATTCCTGAATCCTTTGAAATCTTCCGAGAATGTGTTAAAAAATTCACGTGAAACATGATTTTTCCAACTTTTGACTGCCATGAGTAGAAATACGTTTAGCACTTATTATGTATTTTCAATTAACCTAGCTATATGAATCAACCAAAGAGCGGTTAGAACAAATCTCTCATTGCTTTCATTAATTAAACATTTTTTATTGCATAGTGATTCCGAAAGGGTTAAACGATATAAGCACCAAACGTCAGCCTTCCTACATATGTATTACTGTAAAATGATGGCATTACAAAATTAACATTTCTTGCTTCAATAATAGCCAGTTTTGTACAAACAATTTTTTAGGTACGTTTTCGAGACCGCACCTGTTTCATCCTCCTCAAGATTTCAATTGTAGTTTTAGAAAACTCTCATTCATCCACTATCCGTCTCTCCAATCTAAAATCCTAAAAAATTCCTTAATGCTCCATTCTACATCTCCAATAAAACCATTCACACTGGCCTCTCGTCCCCCCTCGTCCAGCAATGTTCCTAACCTGGAAATTCTCCACGTCGGCTGAAGAAGCCTATGGATCTGCTTCAGTGATGTGCACGTGAGTGCAATGTGACGATGTGTCGCCAGTGGTTGGCTTCTCCGATCATGCTTAATTATCATGTTAGACAATGAATTGTCGAATTTATTTATTGTAATGAAAGTTGTAGGTGTAAACAATAATAACAAAAGTTTTAGAGTTTGATTAGACAACTGGTTAAAAAAAAGTTCAACAAGCCAATTCCTATCACAACGAGATGTACACTTCTTCAGATAAACTGTGATTTTTACACTTAAAGTTATCTAAAAAATATTAAAAAACAAAACGATGTTTTAAAAGGTTGTAATACTGTACTTTTGTAGCAAGTGTGATATGCTTTCAAATTATTTATTTATTTATAATGATCAATTAAAATAAAACTACCGTTGAAGCAGGGAAAAGGTTAAATTGAATTAATCTAATTACCGATGACTTTATTTTTATTAAGCGAAAAGAAAAACTGAATTTAAAATCAAATATATTAGTTCAAATAATAACATTAGTAGAATGGAAAAAAGCACAAATCTTATAGACCTACTACAAAACAATTCATATAAGTTTAGTAATTACAAGTAAAAAGATTTTTAAAACATCAACGGATAGTGTATTTTTTCTTTTTTATAACAAGAGCATTTGTAAGTATGCCGGATTAGAATGCATGGCCGCTGGATTCGAACCCGGGACCTTTACCTTACTGTGATGAGCGCCGTGTCAACGCCTAAACCGTTGCGGCCACCGACGCCCCTCTATTCGTATTTATTGTTTAATTTAAAAATAATTTTTTTAATTCGGTGTATTACATTTTCAAACAAAAAAAAATTGGAACAAATAATTGAAAGCCAATACCGTTCTTGTCTGTAGTTGTTAATTGTTAACAAGATAATATTTATGTCGCCCGCCTACGAACAAGAGCATTCTTCATATCACTTATAAAATATATTATACTAATATAACTACAAATCAACAAGCAATACACATATTCTAACACATATTTGTAATTTATAAATTAAAAACAAGCAAACTAAACCAATTAATTAATAAAAGAGTAAGTAAAATTAAAGATAATCAATCTAACTGGTGACTTTAATAAGTATTTAAACACCGAAAACTTTACTAAACTACTTACGCCCTAGTCGAACGGTATAAGGCAAAAGTAAAAGTATTTTACACTACATCTATACTCTCTAAAGCTTTATGACATACCCTATTAGTTTTTCTTCGTGCATCTTGAACTGTTTTTTTATGCTTAATGCCACTTTATGCCAGTGCGTAGGTTAAACTAGATTCATTCTTTACCTTAGCATCTATCTAACCTTTTCAAGTAATTGTTATAAAAGTGAAGGGATTAAAAATAACAATTTTTATATTGGCACCAGTTGGACTTAATGAAAACAGTAATCATCCATATGCAACTTCTTGTAGCACAGCATTCTTGGTAGCACAGTAGGCCCAGTAGTTTCTCCGGCGGTCATAATTTACTATTGAACGCACGTATTCTTTATATTTTTGTTATTAATTTTTAAAGAAAATACAACGTCTCTACAAATATTTTCCTGAGACCGAATAAAACTATTAAGTCCGGAAAACTCAGAACTACAACTTCTCTAAATTGAGTGTGAGTTTTGAAAAGTGAGCACGATTGGAGCTTCTAGCAGCTCAGATGAAGGACCTGCGTCAAAGGCCGAATTGCATCGGCAACAATAAAAATAAATAGCACGGTTGTTGTTGGTGATTGTCTGGTTCAATCTTATGCACACGCAATACTGGATGTAAAAGGAATCAAAATTGAAGAAAAACCAAAAATAAAAGAGTTATAGTCCTTATGTATGTATATCTAGAAATTTAAAATGGTTTTAATCGCTCGGCTCGCAAGTTATGCTCGATTAGAATTAGAAATTTTGTAATATGTCTATTAGTTTAAAGGGTAAAGTTTCGAACATAAATGCTGGCCAACGCGTTGCTCAAAACATAATAACAATTACGAATATCAGGTATTAAAATGGCTTTTTATATCTTATTTATTGCTAAAGATTAAATCTATTCCTGACATAATATTATCAAAAAAAGTTCTTCAGCTCTACTCGCAAAATCCGTTTTGTATGAATGCGGCTATAGCCCTATTGAAATGAGGATTAAGGGGTATTGATGTCAGACAGGAAATGATTTTTTTTTAATCGTAATAATCAGAAGCTAAAATGCCAAAAAGAAAATATGTAATATCACTTGAAATTTGAGCCGGCTAGCGTAAAACTCGTTACAGGTGATATTTACGAATTTAGATTTCTAGGATCAATTTTCGAGGAACGGTGACGAAGTGCTGGTCATGTCGGAGTATGTTAAACAGTATGGATCATATTGAGTCGGCACATGAAAACAAGTGAATGTACTCTAGATAGTAAACAGAGAAAAACGAAGGCATTTGTTATATGCATTTTAGTAAATTATTTTTTATTAAAATATTGTAGGAGATAAAAGAAATTCGATTCGTTGGGAAGGGAACAGAGGGACAAACTTGAAAAGGAGGTTAATCGTATCGAAAAAAAGTGTGAAGAGAAAATGTAACAAATTTGTCTTACCATGCGTCAGAATGTTGATGGTTTCGTTGTGAAGATAGAACATGCTTCCGAGGGACTCCCAGAATGTGAGTAAGGGCCTGTAACCGGTATGGATGTAAGGGTTGAATTGTAAATGGGGAGGCATGTCCCGCCATCGGAGGAGTGCCTTCCTCGCCATCAGGGCATCCCGCCACAGCCAAGGCCCCAAACCGACTGAGGGACGGTTACCCAGAATTCCGTTCGTAGGGATCCGGAGGCGGGGGTCGGACTCCCTCCGGGTCACCGGGGAAACCGTTCCCGCTCCCCTTTATTGATTCCACTTTCTACGAGATGGCCAGAATGTGTCTCAACTCGCCTTCTTCCCTTTTATTCCGGTCCATCTGTAACTCGAAACACGACACTTTGAACCTGAATAAATTGATTTTGGCGATATGGAGGGGAAGAGCTTGTCTTTATTTTCTTGATTTGAACGAATTCGTTTCGGAGGTCCGAGACGAGACGAGGCCGTTTGGGCGGGGACGCGGAGAACAATTAAACGGAAGGGGTTGGAAATAAATGTTTGCCAGAGGGGTGGAGGGGTGAGATTTTTATTGGGGGGAGGTAAACCTACACCGGCAACCCCCCCGTATACCAACAACATTCCCACCTCAAAGTATAAGCTACCCAGCGCATGCTTCTCAGAAACACTTGCGCAATTGTCTACAGCTATTTGATCTCTGTTCTTCGAAGATGGATTCCTTTGGCAACATCGGAAGTGAGGTAAGATAAATAATAATTAATATATTTAGAGTAGGAAACGTCGTCGGTTCTGTCGGTTCGGACCACCTGGCCGCGTTTAGGCCAGTGCGGGCGTCGGGTCGGATTTTTTTATAATTTGATGCGTCGTTCGGTCATTAAATCAGAGGTGGACCGGCGGTAGGGTGGACCCTTCGGAAAAAGGAGACGGCCTCCTTGTTGTTTGTATGTGCACTGTTGTTGTGTTGTTGGCTGTCAGGGGTTGACTGCCACTACCCCCCCTTCGATCGTGGTCACACGTGGTTCCCACGACCGCCCCCACTTCCGCCACAGAGACCTATCATAAACAAGTAAACAACAAAACATAAATAAACAACAATGTGCATAAACAAAACAAGGCGACCGGAGGTGGCCGGGTCGTGATTAATATCCTTCTCCTTTCGACCGACACTTGACATTTCAGCTCAAATTCGATCCGAAATAAAGGATTTAAACATGAGAATAAAGTGTGAGTGAATCAATCGATTCGGCCGGGCCGCTGCAATTTGCATGGGCATTGTGCCTTATGCTCCGGTTTTGCAGGTGCCCGGGAAAATTTCTCGCCTCCTTCCGACTTTCAGAAACCACTTCCTTCCGATACGACAGAACCTCTCCCAACCCCTCCTGCCATCACCGATGCCCTAAGATAAACATAAACAAAAGAGTAAACAACACACAACCCTTTCCAAATTGGCTTGACCAGTTTCACTTTTCTTTTCCCGACTTGACTATTTCAGTTCTCGTTCAATATCGTCTGCTGTTAACGAGTTTCGAATCAATAAACTGCTACTAATACTAATTTAAATTATATTTTAATTAATGTAAATGGCAAAAAAATAAATATTATTAAATTTATTCAAATTTATTAATTTATAATTCAAAATGGTCGTTTTATTGTTTTTATTTTATAAAAATACCTCAGTACGGTATTTATTCGGAGCCCATGTAAATTAAATTATTGATCGGGATAGTCTTAGGTGGGATCGGGTAAAAATGAAGAAGCTTTTCCGGGAGGGGGTGATGTCAGCTCGGAAAACAATCCTGGTGGTTCTTTGTAAAAACTTAGGTCATGGTTAACTGTTGGTATCGTACATCACAAATAACAGGTTTTTCAAATGAAGAGTTACTTATTAAAAAATACTACATAAAATGCCACATTTGAGGATTGAATCTTTCCTGCTCGGGTTCACTACATTTTCCACAATATCACGCAGTATACAATTTTTCCGACGAATTTAAAACCGTTTTAAATTTAACTAGCAAATCTATTTTATACATACACTTTTTAATTTTTATAAAAATGCCAAAAATAGTATTTATAGCAGACAGGAAACCGAACTTTTAAGGGTTTTACTAGTTAAAATGTATTTTTTTATAACTTTATTACTTGGAGGCAAGGGGTTGAATTTTTTTTGTAAAAAATCTCATAATCCTCAACCTTTTTTATTGTTACAGAGTTTATCCGTACTTCATTACTGTGTTAAAAACTACTGCATCGTTATAATATATATTGTAAGTTTTAGTAGTGACTTCGCGTTCAATTAATTTTAAGTTTAAATTAAAATTTTATTTTATTTAATTTTTTATAGATCCTATGATCAAATTATTCCGAAATAAGTTGCGAAGCATTCCACGAAACCCCGGGACATTTTTACACGGGGCTAAGGTCTACCATTCCGCACAGCTTTACTGTCCTTCTGGTTTATCGCTGTGAACGCCGTGTTTACTCTAGTCTACCCACATTCGAAACAGAAGTGAAAACACCATTTCTTGGATAATATTCAATAAAATTTCTTTTTAATAAATCAAATACTCTGTAAAAGTAATAAAAATAAATTTTTTTAAATAATTATATATATTATTTGATGTCATACTTGATATAATCAAGCATTGTGGCATCTGATTTGTTGCATTAACTAATTCGAGGATACATGGGCTGTTACCACTCCAAAACATGCTCAAAATTTCTGTATATTATTTTTAATCCTTCTACTACATATTATTCTTTCGCAAAGCTGTACATGCTAGCGGTATTAAAAAACGTAAGTTGTAATATATAAAAAAAGATCAATACTATTATTAATAATTTATCCATCTTAATGATTTGTAACATAATAATTTAATTTTGAAAAAAAAAGTGTCGTAACGTCATATTTATTTTTGTCGTTTGTATTTCGATTAATTTCAAGAAAATTAAGTGCTCTGATAATTTTAAAGAAGATAAGGTGCAATTAACTACTTTGTAGCTTTGTTGCTTAATTCCTGTGTGAGTAGGGCTATGGGCGTAGAAAACTGTAAACCTTTTAAATTATATATGTTTTTTTCATCTTATAGTTGGTATATGAAATTCCGTTTGTGTTTCTTCCAGAAAATGTATAAATTGTCTGTATGTTGGCGATGAGTTTTAGAGAATTTTTTGTGTTTTTAATAATGAAAGAATTTACACTTTCCATCTTTTCTAAGTTTTTTGTCCGTGAATGAGTACTCACAACGTTTTTTATGTAGATCGGTGAAGGTTTAATGTCCTTTTTTTCCTTCTCATTGCTAGTTGTCTTGGCGGTCTCGTTGAGCGAAAATAATTGAAACTGAATTTTTATATCAATAGGTGCATTCGCAGCTGCAGTTTGAATATGGGGCAGTTACCTGGGACCGATATTGGGAATTTATGGGCCAGGCCTTTTTCTACCAAACCCATGGGCCAATCTGTAATCTTGTTCATTTAAAGGGCTAACTTCAAACTCAGTTTTTCATTTTCTTTTCCCATTTTGAACTACATGAGAAAAGGCACCCTCCTGGAGAGTCCGAAGAGTTTAACGTACAATTCTCACGTTTACAATTCTCGTTTTAGTGCCATAAACGACAAGAAACTTACAGAAATAACAATTTTTCGTAAGACGGTTTTAAAGAACGTCTAACGAATTTCTAACTCAAAATTAAATTATTGTGTTACAAATGAGTAGGATTGACAAATTATTAATAATAGTTTATTTTTATTAGCGGGGGTTGAGATGGAAAGTTGTTTTATGTCCGAGTGGATCGAAGTCACGATAGCTCAAGTGGTAAAGCAGCGGTATTTAGCTGAAGGTCGTGGGTTCGAATCCCGCTTGTGACACTGACTTTTTTATCTCAACCAAAACCTTAATGAAAGATTAATGAATTGAAATTAATAATAGTATTGATCTTTTTTTATATATTACAACTTACTTTTTTAATATCGCTGGCATGTACAGTTTTGCGAAAGAATAATATGTAGTAGAAGGATTAAAAATAATATACAGAAATTTTGAGCATGTTATGGAGTGATAACAGCCCATGTATCCTCGAATTAGTTAATGCAACAAATCAGATGCCACAATGCTTGATTATATCAAGTATGACATCAAATAATATATATAATTATTTAAAAAAATTTATTTTTATTACTTTTACAGAGTATTTGATTTATTAAAAAGAAATTTTATTGAATATTATCCAAGAAATGGTGTTTTCACTTCTGTTTCGAATGTGGGTAGACTAGAGTAAACACGGCGTTCACAGCGATAAACCAGAAGGACAGTAAAGCTGTGCGGAATGGTAGACCTTAGCCCCGTGTAAAAATGTCCCGGGGTTTCGTGGAATGCTTCGCAACTTATTTCGGAATAATTTGATCATAGGATCTATAAAAAATTAAATAAAATAAAATTTTAATTTAAACTTAAAATTAATTGAACGCGAAGTCACTACTAAAACTTACAATATATATTATAACGATGCAGTTGTTTTTAACACAGTAATGAAGTACGGATAGGGTCTGTAACAATAAATAAGGTTGAGCATTTTGAGATTTTTTTACAAACAAAAATCAACCCCTTGCCTCCTAGTAATAACGTTATAAAAAAAATACATTTTAACTAGTAAAACCCTCAAAAGTTCGGTTTCCTGTCTCCTATAAATACCGTTTTTGGCATTTCCACAAAAAATAAAAAATGTATGTATAAAGTATATTTAATAGTTAAATTTAAAACGATTCGAAATTCGTCGGATCAAACTGTATCCTGCGATGATATTGTGATGATGTGATATTGTGGAAAATGTAGTGAACCCGAGCAGGAAAGTTCCAATCCTCTGATGTGGCATTTTATGTAGTACTTGTTATAATCTGTAACTCTTCATTTGAAGAACCTGTTATTTGTGATGTACGATACAACAGTTAACAATGACCTAAGCTTTTACAAAGTGCCACCAAGATTGTTTTCCGAGCTGACATCACCCCCTGCCGGAAAAGCTTCTTCATTTTTACCCGATCCCACCTAAGAATATCCCGATGAATAATTTAATTTCATGACCTAAACATTCAAATCTAAACCTAACATTCAACAAATTATAGTAAAGTATAGAAAATTATGCACAAATTTGACAGATCTGTCAGACCAGGAGGCATTTGCGGAAAGAAACCAGCCAGTGCTGGAACTCCATTTTATTTAGTTGGGAGGGTTAAAAACTTAAGATAGGGGGTCACGATGCCATCATCGGTGGAGGAATAGGGGGGCATCGAGGAAAGCGTTTGGGTTAGTGGGTTATAAAGGAGGGATAGTTTAAAGTGGTAATTAAGAAAGTTTGTTCGGAACTGAAGATAAAAAAATAATAAAAATTAACTAATTATACTAATTTCAGACAACATGGTAGCTGAGCGGGTTAGAACATCTTTCGCACACATACACACAAATAATACTATAAAAGAGCTTTATTTATTTATTTGATCTTAAGAAAAGTAGGGCATCTTAGAAACGCACCACGGCTGCGTTTTCTAGAGACTGATGAGTGTATGTCTCTATGTTCCGATAAAATATTGTAAATAGTTTTTAGTTATTACGTTGGCTCCTGAAATAACTTTTAGGTTCATTGTTTTTGACATAAAATATGCACTACATAAGTTTTTTTACTTAAGTCCCCTATTTTTCTATCGGATTTCAAAACTAAATCATTTTAAGAATTTTTATAGAAGTTACCGAAATTAAAGTTAACATTTTCACATCGACTAGTTACAATAACACCACTCTATAAATCTAGAATTACCTATTTTGGGAAGAATGATATTATTCTGCACAAAAAATCATTAATTTGGATCAAAGAAAGCATAGAAAAGTAAATGTTCGAATTGTTTTTCTTCATTTTAAACACATTTTCATTTTTTTTCTCTTTGTAATATTCCTCTAAATATCCACGTATTGTTTACTTCCTTACAGTCTAAAGTTTCTTCGAATTTTCTCTAGTTTGTTAAGTTCAGCGGTCAGTGTTTTGTCAATGGCTTCTCAACAATGGTCACTTTGTAAAATTATTTAGACAAAGGACGCCAGACCACATTGAAACAAAAACGGCTCCACGATTTTTTTTAATAACGCATAACAATATTCAATTTTACAGTTGATCTATTTCCGCTTTTTCATTATTTTTACGATGTTTTGTACCTGTACAATTTAAGTAATGACTCGTAAAAATGCATATAGCTCATAACATTTTTTTTCCTCTTGATAAATCTAATTATTTTTGTGATACTTGGGTTCCGAATTATCAAGGATCGACTGTATTATTCACGTAAATGATATTTTCACTTCGGTTTCGAACGTATGTACATGTAGTCATGCATCAAATACACGGCGTTCACAGCGATAAACCAGAAGAGCAGTGAAGTTACACCGAATGGAAAACTTTAGCCCCGTTTATAAACGGTCTGTGTTACGAACGATAAATAAAATAATACGTTACATATTCTATTCTCGGTGGTGTTATACGTCACAGAATGAACATCGGCACCTGTAGCTCAGCTTTTTTGTCCCAGTAGTCTTATGTTTTTTGAAAAAATATTTTTTTTCTAATTTTTTAGCAATCCTAAACGATTAAATTGCGGAAGTTACAACCTAACTGTCAGTAAGTGTAAGTACTCAGTACCCAAATTCGAATTGGTAAAAAAAAACCTAATACTGAATTACTTCTTCCACCCATAAAACACCGGGATATCTCTCCCTCTCTCTCACTTTCTCACTCTTTATTTCTCTCTCTTTCACGCGCACACACACACACACACACACACACACACACACACACACACACACACACACACACACACACACACACACACACACACACACACACACTGTGATAAATATATTTAAAATTAAAAGTTAATTAAAAGGACAATAATTTATTACAATCTCTTTTCACACGGACCAGTCACTTTTATTGAAAACAATGCAAGTTAAATTGTAACCCCCTATCAGGTTCAACTTTTTCAAATACAACTAAGATTTTTGTTGCATATTATTTTTTTATAAATGTTTTTATTTACTTTTTTAATCGAAATCGATCAAGAATTTCTTTTAAAAAAATTTAAATAATAGTTCTGAATTCGGTAAAAATAAGCGTAAAAATAGGCACCTTTCAAAAAAAAATAAGTGTTTTACAATTTTTTATTTTACTTATTTATATTTTTATTATTTTTTAATATCTTGCTTTATTTACAATAAGATTGTTTTCCTATTCCAAAAACCATTGTTGAACGCGAGATCGCAAAATTGTATTAGATAACAAGGCCATGCTGCGCTCTTTGGCACAAAGGGTGCCGACATTTACAATAATACGTAAATAATATTTTGTTAAATCACTGGTTAAGACAGTCCAGCTTTGACTTGCAAAACGCGTAGAAATCGGACAATTTTATTGTACACCACCAACCAATCCAACAGTTGAGTCGGACTAGTAAATGTGGTTCCATCCAAATACACCAAACTGTCGGCCCACAGTTTAGTCTGTAAAGTGCGGTGTTCC